GTGAAAAGGTTTTGTTTTTTTAAACCTGTGTTTATCACTCTGCTCAAAGATTGTACCAAAGGGTTTTTTAGTTGTTTTCTCTTTAATACAAGACATTTCTGTCTACCTGAGAAACAACTTCTCCCAGTGCAGACATCCACAGTTTGAGACGCGTGGGTAGCTTCTTTTCCATGGATACAAACTACCTGCAGGGAGTTAAAAATGACTCACGCAAACTCTCAATTCAAACTAACGTGAATTAATTTCTTTATATATCTTTTCTTCTAGTTACACGTTTGCCTTTGGGCTTTTGTCTAATTACATTTAAAGAAAAGATAACAAAAAACTATTGCACTTCCTACTCTTATCTTGGCGTTAAATGATTCTAATACATGTACTTTAATTTTCATGTGTGTGTTTTTTTTTTTTTAATTTATTTATTTTATTCAAACCGGTTGTTATGAAACCTCTTTTATTAGTATTATTGTACATTGGCAAATTGTTTATCATGCTGTCCCCTTTTTCAGGAAATTTAACTTTACTGATGTTTGGTTTTCAAGAAACACGGCAGTTATAAATACATACATTTATTTATAAAACTGGTATGTTGTGGGTATTACTTGGCACCCTTTGCTGTAAAATAATGAGTTGATTTTTTTTTTCTTGAGCAGTCAAAATATTTGTTTTATACATTTAATGTAACATTATAGTGTTAGGAATACAAATATGTATTCCTAACGCTATAGTGCCCTAGTTTTTTATTAGCTGACTAGGCCAGTGCTGCCTGGGTTAAAAAGGTGATTTATTTACCTTTCAGCCCTAACAGCGCCAGTCTCCTCCGTGTGGCTCCGCCTCTTTGGCGGAGCTCATCAGTTTTGCTATTTTCAGCCAATCCAAAGCTTTTACATGGCGCATGTATGGCAGAATGTCACACCGAGCCAATCAGAAACCGTCTGACTAAAATATTAGAATTTTACTGTGATATCTTACAGAAGCACCTATAGTATCTGTCGTGTTGACGCAAGTAAACCCTGCAACAAAAGTATTTGCCGTTCCTGCAGAATGGCAATGTTTACAACTGCAGGGTTAAAAGAGAGGGGAGACGTGGTCTCAGAACACTTCATTAAGATGAATTGGTCTGGGTACTTATAGTGTTCCATTAATTTAATGGGGTTTTTTTAACGCTGTGTCAGTACCCAAATATGTCATATGAACAGGAAATGGTACATCAGGGCCAGGCACCTGCCATATTTGTTTACTGATGTAGGCTTGCTTTCCCCAGAACGGACCCAATTGATAGGGTGAATTCTATCTCGGCTCTCAGCCAATCAGCGTTGCCCTGCCCGGTGGCACTCGCCTGATCTGAAAATCCAGAAGGCAGATGCTGCCCATGGGGATTGGACATCTTTCTCAGACAGTTTAACCCTTTGATAGTGTTTTGGTGCTTTGAGTACATTATAGTCCAAAGGTTATTCAGTATTAAATATGGATTAGTTACCAAGCATGAGGCTATATGTTCATGTAATATTTACATGTTTAGTAAATGAATTCCATTAATCCAAGTCAACTTGAACTTGTGTCTAGGGACAGCATGCATTTTTTCACAGCAAAAAAATATATAAAAAAAAAAATAAGCATACAAAGTTCAGAAAAATGTATAAGTCCAATTGTTATTCTGCAAGTGTATGTACACACAATGAAAACCTTTTCATTTACGTTTTTCTCCATACCAGTGATTAACCCATTAAGATGGAGATTATCTATGTATTTCTAATGGTATACAACAAAGTCAGTGCTAATCTAACTGTTAAACTAATCTAACAATGTTATAAATATTAAATATACATCTGTTTGCAAATAGTAAAGATTATAAACAACCAGCAAAAATGAGTCTTTACATTTAACAATTGTGATTTAAACCAAGTCTTACTGACTATTAATTTAAATCAAATTCACTGTGTTAGAATATCTTTGAAATTCCTTAATTTAAACACAATATTAAGATATACATCATATCAACTAATTAAGTATGTTGTCACCTTTAGGATTTGTTTACAAAATGTGTTAATGGGCAGGGCTTCTACTGCTGCCTTCTGTCATTTATTTCCCAGTACCCATTGTTCCAAAAGATGACCGCATCAAATCTAGAACTGCTTAAAGGGACACTCTGAATCCCTAGAGTACTTTAGCTTCCTGAGATGCTTTATGTGTGAGGAATGTGTGTGTATTTACTAAACATTGATTTTTTTTATTATTATTTTTGTATTTAGGCAGTGGAGTCTCCCTTTAACAACTCCCCCCCTTCCCCCCCCCCCTCGAGTGATAGCACTGCTTTGAGGTATTTTGCAACATTTATATTAATGTCAGTTATTTTATACATGGACACTGATTCAGTGAGCTTATTTTCCGATTAAAGAATGGGTCGCCTTTCATATAATCTAGGACCCTGGCAAAAACATTTTTAAATACAAACACTGATTTAATCTGAACTGCCGTGTTTGACCAGTGTTTCCGTATAAAATGTTCTTTGGACTTGTCTGGAGATTGTGATGATTATTATTTATGTAGTACATATGCAACAGAGTTGTACAATAGGTAGACAAACACATAGTTGCAACAAGACAAGTTGGGCACACCGCAATAAAAGGCTCGTTGTGGGACCAATCACACATAACCAACGTCTATTAATTATAATATTAAATCAGTACATTTATTTGTTTTTGTTTTTTCCCTTGCAATTTATAAATATAATATTGTATTACTTACCTGACTGGGTGTTCGGTTGTCATAAAACAGTTTTACCATTCTAGAATACGTAGAATTGGTCTAGGCCGGGCATTCCATTTAATGTGCAGTTCTAAACATTTAGAAGTGCTTACTGAATATGCATCTTAATCATTAAAGGAAAATAAGCATGGTTGTTTTCTTCTTGGTTTTTTGATGCCCATAATTTAATTTTATTTTTATTGGCTCATAAGTAAAGGTCATTTTGTGAATTTTGGATTGGAGACTCTTATAGTGCATGTAACCAAGCCTCACATGACATATTGTGAAATAACATGCTCCGTGTGCCACTGTAGTTCTCACAAATTAATATTTTGACCTTTAAAGTATTTGTACAGAGCAAGCATATCACCTCTCTTGAGTGGAGCAGATATGAACAGCTGCCATCCTTTCAGCCTTTTATGGTTTGTATTCCATTTAGACGTAACTTTATCACACTCCCTTCTGTAAATTAATCTATATTCCCATGTCCTCTCTGCATGATATATTCAGTTTTAAATGGGATACTAGGTTCTCCTAAGTTACTTAGCTTTTCCGTAAGTATGTTCATTTGTATGTCTATTAAATCGGTGTTCAGCAACCTTTTAGCACCCGAGGCCTGGCGAAAAGAGGATTAATGTTTTGCTGACAGGTGTCAGCCAGAAATAAAAACCAATGGTGTGTGTATGGGAGAATTATTGTGGGGCTGGAGGGTAGATTAATAAATGTATATATTGTTTTAATTAATTAAATGAATAATTTTGATATATCTCCTCCCTGCTTAGCTTTGCCTGGGAAGGGGGACAATTCCTGCAGCCCCGATGCCCTGGTGGTCCAGGTGGTGAGAGTGAACTCTAGCAGCCTCAGGAGCTGCTAGAGTTCACTCTCGTGAGATTTTGGGTGTTGCCATGGTAACAGCGGAAATACTCCGAGCTCGCGAGTGGAGAACCCGGTGGAGCTGTAGGTTAGAGAGGGAGGCACGGTTCCCGGTGTTATGATCACAAGAAAAGAGATCTGGAGATTGTGATGATTATAACAACCAGCAAAGATCATAGCACAGAGGAAATATTTCAGGGTAATTTATTGCCGGTCCACGAAAGCTTTCATCCAACAGTATAGTCGGGTGAAAGCTTTCGCGGACTGGCAATAAATTCTTGTGCAACGGATCCTGCGTTGCTATTAAAACCTCTTAATGAACAGGGTTTGAACACACAGGTCTCCAAAAATACATCCACTTGTATATAAACGATGCTATAGTTACATGATAAAAAAAAGTAGTAATAAGGGGTCAGCACTCTAAAATATTACAGGAAAAACAGCAGATAACAAGGCAGCACACCTGAGCAGTAAGGTTCCCTCACAAGCCTTACAAGTAGAGAAAGGGTGGGGGTTAGGTGGCGCCAATAAATAAGTACTATAAACAGATAAAACACTTATATAGTAGATAGAAATATAAAAAGTAAAAAATTTAATTAAATAAAAATAGAGAGTTCCAAAGACAGAGTTCAGGAGAGTCTTTTGAAACTTAGACGTAAAGCCAACGATAATTCCATGGATGGGAAGCCGTTTAATGAGGTAGGGGTGTTCTTAAAGTCCTTATGTGGAGATAAAAGAAACAACTAATGGTGCAATATATTCAACAAGCAGGTAGCAGCTGGTAAAAAGTATGATATGATCCTACTCCCGTTTTAAAGAGCCAAGGAACCAGCTCTTCTTTGAAGTGCGTACAGTGGTATAATCCCCACTTATTGGATACATGAGTTGGTGTCTTGTCTGAAGGAGGGTCATATGAAATATAAAAGGAACAGCAATAGTGCGCTCTATTTAAAAATCAGGAGTACGGAGATAAAATATAAAGTGGTTACTCACATTTACATGAACAGGCGGACTGCTCAATGTATAGGGTTTGAGTGGTATAATCCCCACCTAGGATTCTTTGGAGTAATGTCTCACTGGAACAGGATAAAAACTCAGAAGCCAGGTAAAAAAGTATTAAAATAAGATATAAAAAAAGAGTAAAATGGCAACTCACAGAAAGGAAGTGACCAAAATACCTTTAAAACAAACTTAGAATTTCCTATACACATATATGTTAAAGGACCACTATAGTGCCAGGAAAACATAATCGTTTTCCTGGCACTATAGTGCCCTGAGGGTGCCCCCACCCTCAGGGACCCCCTCCCGCCCGGCTCTGGAAAGGGAAAAAGGGGTTAAACTTACCTTTTTCCAGCGCTGGGCGGGGAGCTCTCCTCCTCCGTTCCTCCTCCTGGGCTGAATGCGCACGCGCGGCAAAAGCTGCGCGCGCATTCAGCCGGTCACATGGGAAAGCATTCATAATGCTTTCCTATGGACGCTTGCGTGCTCTCACTGTGAAAATCACAGTGAGAAGCACGCAAGCGCCTCTAGTGGCTGTCAATGAGACAGCCACTAGAGGATTAGGGGGAAGGCTTAACCCATTAATAAACAGCAGTTTCTCTGAAACTGCTATGTTTATGAAAAAATGGGTTAACCCTAGCTGGACCTGGCACCCAGACCACTTCATTAAGCTGAAGTGGTCTGGGTGCCTAGAGTGGTCCTTTAAGAAACCGGAGTGTATGCATGTTTTGAATAAATAGGCAATGATGTAAAACGAGGGTTAAAAAAATATATCTATTATAAATGGAAAGAGGTTATGTGGTCGGCGTCCATTTTCGCTAAAGATACCACCTCTGTGAAACGAAGCACCACTGATACCTGCTGCCGCTCCTTCACTAAACTGGCTTGCAAAAGGTAAGTTTCTTTGCAAGCCAGTTTACTGAATGGGGAATCACTGATTGGCTGAGAGCATCGCTGACCGCTCTCAACCAATCACCGATGCCCCTGGCTGGCAGCACTCTGCGCTTCCTGCAACTGAAGTTTCAGAAGCTGGTTGCTGGGGAGGGGGTGGGGGTGGGGAGTAAGTGTTTCTGGGATTTGTAGTGTAATTATCGGCTATTAGCTGAAGTGCAACTGATAGAAATCTTTGCTGTGCTTCCCAAATACGTGTTATTGAATGCTGCAAGTTAGAATGGATGGACAAGGAGCTACACACGCAGGAACCAGCAAGAAACATATATTTTAGACTGGAAAGGGTGGGCTAGGGTGGGGGATACAAAACTAACCATGCAAAAAAAAATACATTTGTTTAAGCCAGAGTTATTTATTTCATAAAGATGGAGTGTCCCATTAATGTCATATACCCCCTTCCATTTGTAGAACCCTGCTTCTGTCTAAAATTGATGGTTTCCGAACTTATTTGCCAAGTACTGCAATGCATTTCTATCATACTGTCTCAAAAACTACTCCTTGTTACACTCTGTTCTGATTCTGTGGCTCTACCTGTATGAATGTACAATTGACTTGATGACATAATACGTGCATACAGAATACTCAAAAATAAAAATTTAGAAAAGAATTGATAGAAAAACTAATTAGCTGTGAGATACCCCTTACAGAAAAGGGATCAGAAAGTCACCTCAAACAAATCATTCCTATAAAGGTTACTATGGTTACATAAAGAACTCAAGATTAAGCATTAGAACATGTTTGGAGAATGGAGTTGAAGATCAAGTGTAGGTATAAGCACTTATGCACATTGTAGCATTTACAGAACATTAGTACTTGTGGTATAATAAATAAAGTTTATTTTGAACAGTCTTAATTTAAATACATTTTTACACAAAAAAGTAAATAATTATGTTGCATCAAGGGGCACTTAAGGCACCAGAATTACTACAGCTTTCAGTAGTGGTTTTTAGGCAAATTAATTGTCCCAGCAGGCTGATCAGAGTTTGCTTATTTGCTTAAAGGACACTATAAGCACTCAGACCACTTAATCTCAATAAAGTGGTCTGGGTGCCATGGCCCAGACTTTTAAACCGTGCATTGTAAAACGTTGCCAATCTGCAGGAGCACTGCAGGGTATAAATGCCTATAATGGCTGTCAATCCAACAGCCACTAGAGCAGGTGAGGCCCAATAGGTAGATCCCCAGATGTTGTAGAACTACAACTCCCATGATGCTTTGCATGCCTTTTGAATGACAAAGCATCATGAAAGTTGTAGTTTTAAAACATCTGGGGATCTACCTTTTGGATACCTCTGCACAATAGGCACTTCTGTCGAAATAGCCATATAAAATGCAGCTATTTCAGTGGGATGATCTCAAACAGCCACTAGAGGGACCAAGGACTGATGTTCAGCATCTCCAGAACCCCTATAGAGATGCATTAAATTGGTGCATCTCAATGAGGAGATGCTGATTGGTGCAGCAGAGCGGCTGCACTATCCCCCAGTGCCGCAGTAAAGGGAAAGCATTGGATTGGCTTACATCATCACTATTGATGCTCTCAGCCAGTAAAGATGGGGCAGCTGTCGCTAGAAAAGAAAAAAAAGTATGAGTTTTACTTACAATATTTATTTGGTAAGGGGGTCATGTTGACCCTGCTGCACCCTTATGCTTGTGCATATTCCCTTAATAGTTTTGTTATATTTTTACACACAGGCAGACTCTATAGTTACTATTAGTTCTACCAAACATTTTACATGTAATGATAATGATCTATAAGTTCAGAATGGAAATTGTTGCATTTGTGGACAACTTGGTGATCTTTGTCCTAAATTCTGCTTGATCAATTTAAGGTGGACTTATTCTCAACAAGATCAATGGATGACTGAACCAACTTCAGCAATGCATAAAAAATTTAATCTATGCATTGTATGGATTAACTCCTTAAAGACCGCAGACGTTCTAGATACGTCCGACAAAAAACTGGTCGTTAAGGACGTCTGCTGCAAAAATGACCCCTACACTTACCTGGACCGGCAATCCCGGTCAGGGGGTACTGCCAGAGACCCCAGCAGTGCCCCTACAGCAGCTTTGGCCCTCCAGGGCCATTTGATCACCATGATCACATGGCCGCAATAGGAGTCGATGGAGCTGCCTGCCATGATCTGTCAGGCAGTCCCCCATGCAGCTAAACTGAAAAAAAGAAAAAAAAAAAAAAATCAAATAATGATATCAATGTTATACATTTAATATATTATAAAATAATTAAAGCATTTTACAATATAATACATATATAATGCATATTTATGATTTCATTACAAGTGTACTTTGAGATATATTCACATATATCTCAAAATCCACTTATAATGTCATCATATATATGCATAATATATTATAAAATGCTTTAATTATTTTATAATATACATATATAGAAAATAAGTGTGTGTGTATGTATGTGTGTGTATATATATACATATATACATACATACGTATTATCTATCTATATATATATATATATATATATATATATATATATATATATATATAATTTATTTTTATTTTATTTTTTAAACACATTTTATTTATATTTATATATACAGACACTCCGCACTTACCGACCTGGTTCCATTCCTACAACCCGGTCGTAGAACGAATTGGTCGGTAAGTGAGGAGTTAAGCGTCTCCCTGCTCTGCTGCGTTCTTCTATGTTCGCGGAAAATGTCCCTGAACATAGACAATGCAACAGAGTGGGGAATCCCTCTAATCTATATTCGGGGAAATTTATCCGAACATAGATTAAAGGATTCCCGCTCTGGTGTACGTCTGTGTTCAGGGACATTTCCCCGAACATAGACGAACACACAAGAGCATGGAATCTCTCTAATCTATACTCGAGGAAATTTCCCCAAAAATAGATTGGAGTGATTCCCTGCTCTGTTGCGTTCGTCTATGTTTGGGGAAATATCCCTGAACATAGAAGAATGCAGCAGAGCAGGGAATCCCTCAAATTCCAACAATGGCTCGCATTTACCACCCCGCGAGAGAGCTGGTCGTAAGTGCGAGCCGTCGTAAAGCAGGTAGGTTGTAAAACGAGGACCACTAGGTTATGGTAGGGAAAAATTGTGATTGAAAACCCCTTCCACCTGAAGTCTGTGGATAGTTAATACAATGTTAAACAAAAATCTGCACACCAGTCAAGCCATATGACTTGCTTTTCCCACAGAAATCACAAATCTGCAGTGATGTTACAACCGCAAAGGATTCTGGGTGGGCATATGCAAATATGTTTAACAAAGAATCACATTTTTGCCTCATTCCATTTTAAACATGGATTCCTTTTAATCTCATGAATATCCTGGGTTGTCTACTTTAAAAAAAAAAAAATGTACATGTGGGGTGTGATTCGGAGATTTATGACAGATAACAGTGTTACAATGTCACTATTGATAAATTTTAAAATATATATTTTGAAACAGCAATGTCCTACTTGTACTTATAGCCCTATAACTTGCAAATATAGCTAAGAACATGTTAGCATTGGGTATTTCTAAACTCAGGACAAAATTTAGTAACTGTTTAGCACCAGTGTTTTTTGGCGGTTGTAGATGCGTAACAGATTTTGGGGGTCAAAGTTAGAAAAGGTGTGTGGGTTCTTTAAAAAGACCATTTGATGGAGAGAAAAACAGTATATAATATGTGTGGGTACAGTAAATGAGTAAGAGGAAAATTACAGCTAAACACAAACACCGCAGGAATGTAGAAACAGCCCTGGTCCTTAACGGTAAGAAAATTGAAAAACAGTCTGGTCACTGTGGGGTTAAAATAATCTTTTATCTTGACGTTTGCTGTGGTTTCCCCAAGGTGTCCATGCAGTAGATGTGAGCATACAAATACAGCTTATACCAGACCATCCCAAACCAGGAAGATGGTCTGCCAATCAGGAGCCTCTCATTCTGGTCCATGTATCTAAGTTTGTGCATCTCTTTGTTACTTAGCAACGTGATACAGCTCAGTGATTGGCCATGTTTCCTAGCAGTTCAGCCTCTGACTAAATTACACGTACATATAGATTATGTTTTGCCTTAAATTATTATGTATGTTCTCTTGGAGATTTACAGCTTACCATTTATTTTGGTTTATACGGCAGTGCAAATATCTGTTGATAAAAAAATCCAGCTATTGGTGATATTTGCTTATAAATCCTGTACTTTTGTTTTATGTGGGGATTGTTGTACAATCAGCACATCCTCATAATATGTTGTGTACTTTTTATTTTATTTTTTACCATTTCTGTGTTTGTCTTTTTTAAGTAAAAATTTAACTAAAGATATTTTTACAATTCTGTAATTTTCACTTTGCCTGTTCAAGGGGGTCCCTGGGTTCTTTCTACTAAGGCATTGCTGTGTAAACAGGCAGATTGATGGGACTTTGTTAGAAAAATGATGAAGAGAAAAGGTCATTGTATGAGTCAGAGGACCGGTACAATGCATGTAAATATGAGAGGAGAGCTTTTAAGCTTCAAAGTTCCCCCAACATGTGCTCACTGATTTAAAAAGTCTGGGTTGAACAACCATTAAATTGTTCATTAACTGTTTCAGAGCCAATGGTATTTAAAATAAAATCAAATTTAAAAAGTGCCTTAGTTTAGTCGTTAGTGAATATTTCAAAGGGTTAATGTTTTTGTTTTTTCCTTAAATTGCATTTCCGTAGTTTTAGTTAAAGATATATTTATTTTGGAAAGGCGGGCATTCACTATAACATTGT